ATAACTATAGGCCAATATCCAATTTACACCCTTTCTCAAAAATCTTCGAAAAATTAATTCATAAACGAATCTACTCCTACCTCATCTCCCAAAACATTCTCAACCCCTGCCAATTTGGATTCAGGCCTAATAAAAATACTAATGATGCTATTATACACATGCTAGAACATATATACACTGCAATAGAGAAAAAAGAAGTCCCACTGGGGATCTTCATTGACTTACGTAAAGCTTTTGATACAGTTGACCATGACTTGCTCCACGTAAAATTGTCACACTATGGTATTAGAGGGCACTCTCTCAACTACCTCAAGTCTTACCTCAGCAACAGAAGCCAATATGTGTACGCAAATGGAGCAAGCTCTTCCGCACAACCAATTACAGTTGGTGTCCCACAGGGAAGTGTCCTTGGCCCTCTTCTCTTTCTCCTATACATAAATGACCTACCAAATGCTTCGCAATTACTCAAACCCACACTTTTTGCAGATGACACTACATACGTCTTCTCTCACCCGAGCCCAGTCACGCTAGCCAATACTGTAAACACCGAATTACAGAAAATATCCACCTGGATGAGGACTAACAAACTTACACTAAACATTGACAAAACCTACTTCATTCAGTTTGGTAACAGAGCTACAGATGTACCTCTTAACATAACGATAAACGGATCACCTATCACAAAGCTAACAGAGGGAAAATTCTTAGGAATCCACCTCGATAATAGACTCAAATTTCATACACATATACAACAAATTTCTAAGAAAATTTCCAAGACTGTAGGCATACTATCGAAGATACGGTACTATGTTCCACAGTCAGCCCTCCTGGCCCTTTATCACTCTCTTATTTACCCCTGTCTCACCTATGGAATTTGTGCATGGGGCTCAACAACAATTAAACCATCTCAGACCACTAATTACCCAACAAAAGGCTGCAGTTAGAATGATAACAAATTCTCACTACAGGCAACACACTCCACCAATATTCAAAACACTCAACCTACTCACCATACAAAACATCCATACTTATTATTGCACCTATTACATACATAGAACACTTAACTCTGATATTAACCCTCCCCTCAAACATCTCCTTGCCAACCTCAACAGAACACATGACCATAACACAAGGCACAGATCACTCTTTGATGTTCCTCGTGTCCATCTCACGCTATGCAAAAACTCAATGCACATAAAAGGCCCTAAAATCTGGAATTCATTACCTGTAAATATAAAAGAAACACTACCTGTTTATAAATTCAAGTCTCTTCTCAAAGTTCACTTACTCACTCAAAACCAAATAAATACTGAATAACTGAACCGTATAAATTGTATATCCAAAATGTTACTCACAATTATATCACATAAATGTTAAACCTAGGACCCAATCTAACTTTATTTTTTTAAATACACTACCTAACAGAATACTCCATTCTACTGAATGAACAGCAATGCATGCAACCATATGACCTGTCTTTGTAATACTCATTTGTACTGTATAGTTATCTGTTTACAATAATGTCTTATCACTGATTTCATCATTGCTTAGTTAATCTTAAGTTAATTTTAAGCCAGCCCATAATGCTATGCATATAAGTGGCTTTGGCATGCTGCTCTTACCTGTATTTTTTTGTACCTCTGTATGTATGCTAAAAATTTCTAAATAAATAAATAAATCCAAGAAATAGAGTAAGAGTATTTTTGTGTGATCATGCATTCAAAATGGAAGGCAAGTGTAATGTAGGAGAAGCCTGGGGACATAATAAATGAACAGAGAAAATTTTGTTTTAGTACCAAGAATGTCTACATTTATTATTTTGCATCTTTTTTTAATTGGTATTTTTTTTTGTGAATGGAGTGAATGGAGACGAATGGTACTTGGGACCTGACGATCTGTTGGAGTGTGAGCAGGGTAATATTTAGTGAAGGGATTCAGGGAAACCGGTTATTTTCATATAGTCGGACTTGAGTCCTGGAAATGGGAAGTACAATGCCTGCACTTTAAAGGAGGGGTTTGGGATATTGGCAGTTTGGAGGGATATGTTGTGTATCTTTATATGTTTATGCTTCTAGACTGTTGTATTCTGAGCACCTCTGCAAAAACAGTGATAATGTGCGAGTGTGGTGAAAGTGTTGAATGATGATGAAAGTATTTTCTTTTTGGGGATTTTCTTTCTTTTTTGGGTCACCCTGCCTCGGTGGGAGACGGCCGACTTGTTGAAAAAAAAAAAAAAAAAAAAATTTTTTTTGTGCAAGAAAGGTATAAAATACCAACAATATGAAAGTTAAGACACATGTGCAACATCTGGATATCTTTATTGTAGACATTTCGCCATCCAGTGGCTTTATCAATACAGATTCTAGGACATAATAGGAAGACAGTAGAACTATATACAAAAGACGAGGTAATCAGTCCCTCGGCCTTGGAGTTAGTGTTCACAGCATCGTGGTGGAGGAGAATCTCCTCCACCACGATGCTGTGAACACTAACTCCAAGGCCGAGGGACTGATTACCTCGTCTTTTGTATATAGTTCTACTGTCTTCCTATTATGTCCTAGAATCTGTATTGATAAAGCCACTGGATGGCGAAACGTCTACAATAAAGATATCCAGATGTTGCACATGTGTCTTAACTTTGGTATTTTTTTTTTAAATTTATGTAAAATTAGCCAGATTACTGACTTCTGGTAGTTGCAATAGTTGAATGGGCAGTTTCTCTTGCTCAATTGATAGAATGGAAGGTATACTAGTGAAATAACTAAGAATTTGGTCGAATGGAGTAATGGAATTGACCTGAAATGGGACTCAAAGTTGACAAAATTGCCAATGTGTAAATTGTGCTCAGACCACTACCTGTGCATCTGAGTTTCTCCTTACGTTTTCAGCATATTTTGTAGTTTTATTAAGAATTTTTTTTTAACTGGACACTGGGAGTAGTGTTAATTTTGGGGGTTTGGACAGTGAAAGGGTTAAATGGTAGGGGTTAGAGCTTCCAGTAAGTGTGGGTGTGAGCTTCTTAGATCAGAGTGAATGGGGATAAGGGGTTATTAGGAATTGATGTGCTGTTGGAGTGTGAAGGTATTCAAGAAAACTGGTTAACCTGATTTGAATCCTGGTAATGGGAGGTACAGTGCCTGCACTCTGAAAGAGGTGTAAGCAGTTTTTTTATAAGCCTAGCTGTGAAGGGAAGAGCTGAATGTCTTGGAAGTGAGGTTTATCAAAAACAGTGGTGAAGCAGCAGCTTGAGGTTTAAAAATTTCATTTGTCAGAGCACTGAAATATTAACAAAAAAAGTCACAATACTCTGACTGGAACAATACACAAATAACCCGCACATGGAAGAGAGGAGCTTACAATGAAATTTCGGTCCAACTTGGACCAAAACTTTGGTCCAAGTCAGACCGAAACTTCGTTGTAAGGTCCTCTCTTCTATGTGCGGGTTATTTGTGCACTGAAATATTACACAATTCAGTAAGTGAAACTTCAGATGATGACAACTCTACTTCTGTGACAGGGGATATTTCAGTACCAACTGGTGTTTGAATATTAATTAAGACATTATTCAAGGAGGAATTGTGCCGAAAGTAATGTAGCAGAAGATCCTGTGTGTGATGCACAGTAACATATGGATTGAAGTCTTTACAGCAAGAGTAAAATATCATGGATACAATATCATCTCAGATTCTGTTGCTAATTGTTTTAAAAAGTAGTCCTGAATTGGCTAGATTCTAGATTTCCTGTGAAGTTGCTCTAGTAAAGTTGGCTGAATTTAAAATCTTCCATTAAAAGTACATTTTTGTGTCTAGATAGTTACCTTTGCAATTTTGTCCCATAAAAATATATCATATATATATATAGCTTTTCACACCCTTCGAGAAACTTTACCCAAACAGATTACTACTACCACAACCACCATCACCACTGGCACCACTGCTACCATCACCACTGGCACTGGCACCACTGCCACCACCATAGGCTACTATTACCTTTATTTCTATTACATCCTACAGCTAATACTCTTACCACCACTACTTTTGCTACTACCACTACCACCACTACTCTTGCTACTACCACTACCACCACTACTCTTGCTACTACCACTACCACCACTACTCTTGCTGTACCACTACCAACACTACTCTTGCTACTACCACTACCACCACTACTCTTGCTACTACCACTACCACCACTACTCTTGCTACTACCACTACCACCGCTACTCTTGCTACTACTACTACCACTACTATTTACTACTGTACTACCACCACCATTACTATTTACTACTACTACTACCACCACCACTGTTTACTACTACTACCACAACTACTCTTTACTACTACTGTCTTTACTACTACTACTCTTTACTACTATTTACTACTACTACTATTTACTACTACAACTATTTACTACTACTATTTACTATTACTACTCTTTACTACTGCTACTACTATTTACTACTACTACTACTACTACTACTATTTACTACTACTACTCTTTACTACTACTACTACTCTTTACTACTACTACTACCACCACCACCACCACCGCCACTGCTCGCCGCCGCCGCCGCCACCACCACCATCACCATCACCCATCCATCACCCATCCATCCCATCCATCCATCCCATCCATCTATCCATCCATCCGTCCGTCCGTCCGTCTGTCCACCCACCCACCCACCCACCTACCCACCTCCTGACTTCTATTTTGGTCTTTGTGATTTTCATTCATGGCAAACCAAAATGTTTAAGTTTTCATCTGTAGGTGAGCATTATTTGTAAGATTTTCTCTCATATGATATCTCTCTTCTGTGTGTTGTTTTCTCTTTTTTTTTTTTTTGCTTTCTTTTTATATTTTAATCTCTCTATTTTTTCTTATCTAGAAAGAACACTATTCTTTATATGATTTTTTATTTCTTTTTTGGGAAGAATTTTTTCATAAATTCAGATCAAATATTTGTTCAGTGTTTAGAAAAAAATATTGGCTTTTTCTTACAGTTGCGGCCGCACATCACTTTACAGCGAACAAGATCAGCACCATCCCGTCCTCACCAGTTGCCACTCACTGGTCCTGCTCGCTCTGTGGCTCCTCCCACTACATCCTCCTCTCTTGCCCCAGGGAGTGGTGGCTGTGGCGAACTACGACTCTCTGGTGGCTCAGGGGCTTCAGGATCAGTATTGGAACCTCATTTTTCTCCTGCAGCCTCATACTCACATTTGGGAGTCCCTCCTTCATCGCCAGATCCAGCGGATAATGATATTACTGACCGTTTGGAATCACTTTGTCTCTCTGTCACTGAACATGCTCTGGGTTGAGCTGACATCTGCTGCTACCACTTATTGTAGTTCTCCATCCACATCATATCCATACTGAAGAGGTAAAGTTATGGACTTGGACTTCCAGCAGGCGTGCGTGAGCGTGTTTGATAGGAGTGAATGGAGACGAATGGTTTTTAATACTTGACGTGCTGTTGGAGTGTGAGCAAAGTAACATTTATGAAGGGGTTCAGGGAAACCGGCAGGCCGGACTTGAGTCCTGGAGATGGGAAGTACAGTGCCTGCACTCTGAAGGAGGGGTGTTAATGTTGCAGTTTAAAAACTGTAGTGTAAAGCACCCTTCTGGCAAGACAGTGATGGAGTGAATGATGGTGAAAGTTTTTCTTTTTCGGGCCACCCTGCCTTGGTGGGAATCGGCCAGTGTGATAATAAAAAAATAAAATATATATATATATATATATATATATAATATTATATATAATATATATATAATATATATATATATAATATATATATATATATATATTATATATATATAATAGATATAAAATTTATATATAATATATATATATATATAACATTATATTATATATATATATATATATATATATATTATATATATATATATATATAATGATATATATATATATATATATATATATATATATATATATATATATATATATACAACACACACACATACATTCATACATACATATATACATACATATATAATGTGTGTGCAATAAAGCCACAGGTAGTTGTATAACAATATCTTTACACCTTTTTCTTGGTATGATGCATCATATTTGTAATTCACAGCCTGTATGTATACATGTGTTTATGCTTCAGTACATATCATTCTTGTTAGTGGTTGTATTAAATATGATAATGCTAATGTCAGCATTATCTTTAGCTTTCCTAAGGCAGAATTATATAGTGTACCACCAACTAGTGTTCTGTACATTTATTTATAAAAGAGAGCAGTTTCCATCATTGAATGCATTTATGTATAAATTTAAGGAAAGAATAGCCCAAAGTCATGCAAACCTCCTGGAAACTAATGTGAGTGGGCCTTAGTAGTTTAAATGAGGAAACAAGTATTATTCCCGGAAAAATGTGGTTGCACGTCACTCACATAGAATACGGTGCAAATGAATTAACTGAATTATTTTTTGTCGCACACTTGCTGCAGTCGTTATGATCACTTGGAAGACATCACTTCCTGGCGGTGGTGGTGATATTTGCCTCAAGTGCTTAATGCAGTCCTTATTATCTATTGGAAAGCAGTAGGATCTTAAGTTGTGTGCAGAATTTGAGATAATGCAACAATCTGTGCAATATGAACCACAGTTCTGATTCATTAAGAATATTATTTCATGCTCAATTAGCAAGGATTTTATAATGTTATGTGTGATAGGGATCCATTAGGCACAACAATTTTTGCATCAATTTAATCGATAGGTTATTCAAAAGAACTCAGGAATGCAAAAGTAGCATTAGACTCTTGCTCCCCTCTTCCCCACATATGAAGTATTATTGTTGGATTAGCCTAGTTAGAAGGGGTTTTGCTGTTTGACCAAGGTAAAATCTCTCATTATAGATAAGGAACTTGCTATACACCACCATCTGTAGTGTAATTCTCAATTATATTCTTCACAGTAGAATGATTATTAAACAAAACTTTCATATTAATCCTTTTACTGTTCAGACCCCAAAATTAAGATTGCTCTCAATGTCCAAATTTAAAAAAAAAAATATATTTTATGTCATGGTGGTAACAAAGGGAAAAAAAGTTTCCCATCGATTCTTACCAAGATAAAGAGGTGTAAAGTTGAAGGTCAGTGATCCTCTGACAGTAATATTGGTGATTGCTGCCCCTCCACATGTTTCTGTTTTATTATTTCGTATTTTTTCTGAGGTTTTCTATTTTTGTTACAATTTTCCAGTAACTTTCATGGCCTGTGACACCCATATCATGCACAACGTACGTACATGCACCAGTTGTATGCAGTACAGTACCCCCACTAACAGTGTCAAAATGTAAACACACACATGTACAAATGTTTCACATTACAACTGTTCTAACAATTATGTACATACATACAGGCACTGGTCATGTTCTTAGAACTGTTGCAGTCTGTGGAAATCCTTGAAATGTGGCCCCTTAAACAGCAGTATTTTACATACTTCTTCACATAAAACGTGTGTCTGCACTTTGATGGGTGCCGCATTGTGTGCACAGACACAACATCTCTTCTGAGCCCATTTCTTCTTTTCTGTAGCAGGAAGTGTTGTAAGGAAGTGATCACCAAACTTCACACAAGAGGATATTTGGTGATTATCTGACGTCATCAGCATCACTTTCGGTCATTATGTTATTGAAACCAAAGAACTTGCCATCAGTTTCATAATTATCATTGTTGGAGCTATCGATGGGGAACAAAACTTGTTCAGTTTGCCTTTATATCCATGTTGCATGGTGAACAAGGTGTACTAAGTATGGGGTTCCCACAGTGCACTGTGGGGGGCCCCAATTTTTATGTATAATATTAATACTGACTGTGCAGACCCATTCTCTCATATGTAGACCTACCAGGCCTCTCCCACCAAATTAGAATTTATGTGTAGATTTATGTGAGGGACCCTGGCATCAGTAACGGCCACTGAAAGGGTTTAAAAAGTGTTTGCGAGCTTCAAGTAATGTGTTGAGATTTTCATTATACAGTCATACACGTGTATTTTTCAAGGAATGTGCTTGCCTTGGTTCTACCATAAAATATATAGTTTTTGCCAAGGTCAAGACTCTCAGTAAAGTGCTTTGTGCAACTTAGTTTAGTTTTGTAACCAAAAATTTTGTTGAACTCCTCATTGAGACACTCAGGACAATGCATCCTCAATGCCCTTCAGAAACATTGCTGAAAAAATGGCTCCGTTTAACCCTCTTCTCATGTTTTGAGAAATAGTTTATACTGTATAGGAATAAATGTGTGTAGTCTTACCAAAGGTATTTAATTTAAATTTGCTGTCACTTTTGTGTATCAAAACATCTTAAATTGATAGTTCACCTAATGTTTCATTGGGATGGATAAATTCTAATACTGACTATGGGTCATTTTATTTGATTATGTATTGAAAAGATGATGAGCTATATCACTCTTATTTTAAAGGACCCACTTAAAATAATGATTCAGATTGCTTATATGTAACTTTGATTTTGAGGTGTAATTCTTGGGTGAGTTAACATGACCACTAACATGAATGATTATATATATAGTGAAGAACAAACATTTGTATGCATGTCATCTAAAAATTAAGAACCTATCTTTCTTAGTAATAATTACAATAATAATTGAAGCAACCTTGTTTAATAATGCATTCTTGAGTAAAATTATTCTAAACTGAAGTTTAAGTGTTGAATACCCATATGGGTTTAGTGGTTAAATTGATTATGTTCTTATTAGGTATGGAATATTTGGCCATGGATTTGACTGTCAACTATTGAAACATGTGTACATACATATGTGTGTGTGTGTGTATGCATGTGTATATGTGCATGCTTGTGTGTGTGCATGCATGTGTATATGTGCATGCTTGTGTGTGTGCATGCATGTATGTATGTTTTTTAACACACCAACCATCTCCCACCGAAAAAGACCAGAAAAAGAAGAAACACTTCCACCTTCTTTCACTCTATTACTGTTATGTCAAAAGTATGCTAATACTATAGTTCAGATGCCCCTCCAAACTCCATATATCCCTACCCCTCCTTCAGAGTGCAGGCACTGTACTTTCCACCTCCAGGACTCTGAATCCTACTAACTGGCTTTCCTGAATCCCTTCTCAAATATTACCATGCTCACACTCCAACAGCTCATTAAGTCCCAAAAGCTATTTTCCTCCACTCCCATCTAACACATTAACACACACCTGCTGGATGTCCATCCCCTTGCACACAAAACCTTCTTTACCTCTCCTTACAACCTGTCCTAGGGCAACCCCTACCTTGCCTTCCCTCCAATACAGGTTTATACACCCTTCAATTCATCCTAATTTTCTCTATCCTCTCTAAATGTCCAAATCACCTCACCAACCCCTCCTTAGCCCTTTGGATAATACTTTTAGTAACCCTGTACCTCCTAATTCTATTCTATGAATCTATCTTTCTTTCAACACACCGGCCGTATCCCACCAAGGCAGGGTGGCCCAAAAATAAAATGAAAGTTTCTCTTTTAAATTTAGTAATTTATACAGGAGAAGGGGTTACTAGCCCCTTGCTCCCGGCATTTTAGTTGCCTCTTACAACACGCATGGCTTACGGAGGAAGAATTCTGTTCCACTTCCCCATGGAGGTAAGAGGAAATAAACAAGAAGAAGAACTAGAAAGAAAATAGAAGAATACCCAGAGGGGTGTGTATATATATGCTTGTTCATGTATGTGTAGTGTGACCTAAGTGTAAGTAGAAGTAGCAAGACGTACCTGAAATCTTGCATGTTTATGAGACAGACAAAAGACACCAGCAATCCTACCATCATGTAAAATAATTACAGGTTTTCGTTGTACACTCACTTGGCAGGACGGTAGTACCTCCCTGGGCGGTTGCTGTTTACCAACCTACTACCTAGGTAATCTATGAATACTTTTCATAATAGCTATGAATAGGTAAAACTTGCGATTTTGGCTTAAATAGCAATGCTCTTCTTCAGAATAAGACAAGTGAAAATTTGTGTATACAATAATTTTGCAGAAATCATTCTGAGCCTAATGAAAAAAATATATTTCATTGTGTTTGTTTATTATTAAATTATTGTAAACTTATCTAAAATATATTTAGTTGGATTAGGCCTAATTAAATTGCACTCATTATAATAAGTTAGGTAAGTTTTCTAAGGTTCTTTTGGTACAAAATTATTAATTTTTATGCTAAAATAAATTAAAAAAAAATATCTTTAAATTTATAAGAGAAAATTTTAGAAAGGACTTAATTTTAAATGAGTTCGTGCTAATTGACCAATTTTACCTAGTTGGCAGAACATTATTTATACACTATATATCTTTCTTTCTTTCAACACACCGGCCGTATCCCACCAAGGCAGGGTGGCCCAGAAGGAAAACGAAAGTTTCTCCTTTTACATTTAGTAATGTATACAGGAGTAGGAGTTACTAGCCCCTTGCTCCTGGCATTTTAGTTGCCTCTTACGACATGCATGACTTACGGAGGAAGAATTCTGTTCCACTTTCCCATGGAGAATATATACAGTGGTACATCGGAATACGAACTTAATTTGTTCCAGAAAGCTGTTTGATTGCTGATACCAAACGAATTTATTCCCATAAGGAATAATGTAAATTAGATTAATCTGTTGCAGACCCCCAAAAATACACTTACAAAGGCACTTACATAAATCATCATCTTTCTTTCAACAAAGCGGCCATATCCCACTGAGGCAGGGTGGCCCAAAAAGAAAAACGAAAGTTTCTCTTTTTAAATTTAGTAATTTATACAGGAGAAGGGGTTACAAGCCCCCTGCTCCCGGCATTTTAGTCGCCTCTTACAACACACATAGCTTACGGAGGAAGAATTTTGTTGCACTTCCCCATGGAGATAAGAGGAAATAAAGAAGAACAAGAACTAGTAAGAAAATAGAGGAAAACCCAGAGGGGTGTGCATATATATGCTTGTACATGTATGTGTAGTGTGACCTAAGTGTTAGTAGAAGTAGCAAGACGTACCTGAAACCTTGCATGTTTATGAGACAGAAAAATGGACACCAGCAATCCTACCATCATGTAAAACAATTACAGGCTTTTGTTTTACACTCACTTGGCAGGATGGTAGTACCTCCCTGGGCGGTTGCTGTCTGCCAACCTACTACCTAGAACTTACACAAATACACTTACATAATTGTTCAGGTTTTCAGTTATTCATATCCCAAGGTACCACATACACAGGGCCAAGAGCTGTGGCTCAACCCCTGCAACCACATATAGGCCAATACACACACATTTACACAAAAGGCTTCTTCCTAAGTTAAGAGATATGATATGTGAGGAGTGGCAAAAAGAATTTAATCTAATGACATTGGGGGATAGAATCATGGGAGATATGTTTTGGTAGACAGGGATAGGTTGTTTGAGAAGCAAGAAATGGGAATTCGGGGGGACAGCTGTAAGTTAAAGATACAGATGAGTCACGGGAAGGTCAGGAAATATTTCTTCAGTCTTAGTGGTCAGAAAGTGGAATGATCTTAGTGAAGAAGTGATGGAGGCAGGCTCCATACATAGCTTTAAGAGCAGGTACGATACGACCCATAAGTCTAATGGGCATAAATCTGGCAAGTAGTAAGTTGAGAGGCAGGGCCCAGAGCTGAGACTCAGCTCCTGTAATTATGTAGGTGAATACATATAAGTGAGCACGCATGCACATGTATGTACAAATACACACACACGTGCACACGCATGTAGTGGAGGCAGAAACCATACATAGCTTTAAGATGAGGTTTGATGAAGCTCATGGAGCAGGGAGAGGGAGGACTTCGTAGCGTTCAGTGAAGAGTGGGGCCAGGAGCTGAGTCTCGACCCCTGCAACCACAATTAGGTGAGTGTGTGTGTGTGTGTGAAGGAGGGGTGTTAATGTTGCAGTTTAATCCTGTAGTGTAAAGCACCCTTCTGGCAAGACAGTGATGGAGTGAATGATGGTGAAAGTTTTTCTTTTTCGGGCCACCCTGCCTTGGTGGGAATCGGCCAGTGTGATAAAAAAAAAAAAAATTATATTTTTATTTATATATTACATTTATATATATACATTTTATATATATATATATATATATATATATATATATATATATATATATATATATATATATATATATATATATATATATATATATATATATATTATATGTATGGAAGAAGTGAATGTTTTCAGATACTTGGGAGTTGACGTGTCGGCGGATGGATTTATGAAGGATGAGGTTAATCATAGAATTGATGAGGGAAAAAAGGTGAGTGGTGCGTTGAGGTATATGTGGAGTCAAAAAACGTTATCTATGGAGGCAAAGAAGGGAATGTATGAAGTATAGTAGTACCAACACTCTTATATGGATGTGAAGCTGGGTGGTAAATGCAGCAGCGAGGAGACGGTTGGAGGCAGTGGAGATGTCCTGTCTAAGGGCAATGTGTGGTGTAAATATTATGCAGAAAATTCGAAGTGTGGAAATTAGGAGAACGTGTGGAGTTAATAAAAGCATTAGTCAGAGGGCAGAAGAGGGGTTGTTGAGGTGGTTTGGTCATTTAGAGAGAATGGATCAAAGTAGAATGACATGGAAAGCATATAAATCTATAGGGGAAGGAAAGAGGGGTAGGGGTCGTCCTCGAAAGGGTTGGAAAGAGGGGGTAAAGGAGGTTTTGTGGGT